CATTGCAATACCTTGACATGAGTAGAGTGAATCTTAGTGAAGCGCACAATTTGCACAAGGTACTAAACATGCTTCCTTCTTTACTAGAGTTGCGTTTGTCATATTGTGGACTTGATAATAGTCATTTATCTCATATGTATGTGAACTCTACAGTTTCTAATGTTCAGTACCTAGATCTTGGTCATAATTCATTTCAAGGTGAATTTCCGAGTCTCCTTAGTAACATGTCTTCTTTAAGAGTCCTTGATCTTTCTTTCAATTATTTTAATTTTTCTATTCCTCTCTATCTCGAAAACCTTAAGAGCCTTGAACATCTCAATCTTGGCTCCAATGAATTTACCCACATTGGTGGGTTTCTGAGGCTCTTGTCGAATCACTGTAGCTTGAAATCATTTGATATGAGTCAAAACCAAATCAATGGAAAGGAGAGGTCCATACTTGACAAAAATTTATCTAGATGCACCACGTATGATTTAGAGACATTGATTTTAAGTGCTGATAGATTCACTGGTCATTTACCGAATTGGCTGGGACAACTTAGGCATCTGAAAGACCTTGATCTTTCAGGTAACTCATTTAATGGTTCGATTCCAGCATGTTTGGGAAGATTGTCATACTTGCAGAATTTACTCCTTGGTGGTAATCTGTTGACTGGGGTCATCCCACCATCACTAGGGAACTTGTCAACCTTGAGAGTATTAGATCTTTCTTCCAATCAGTTAAATGGGACCATTCCTATTTCTATTGGACGACTATCAAACCTCAAGACCTTAGATGTCTCTTTTAATTCCCTAGAAGGTGTAGTCTCTGAAGCTCATTTTGCCAACCTCTCAATGTTAGAAGAATTGACGATAAGTTCTAACCTCTTGACATTGAAGTTGAGATCTGAATGGATACCTCCTTTTCAATTGAAAATCATTTCACTCTGGTCTTGCAAATTGGGGACTCAATTTCCTCAATGGCTTCAAACACAAAAGAAAGTTGTTGATCTGGATCTTTATAATACGAGCATATCAGGAACCCTACCTGAATGGCTTCATGACATGCATCTCTCGATATTGGATCTCTCTAAAAACCATATCTGTGGACCAATTCGAAACCTTCCTTCCACTTCATACATAGTTGATCTCTCCAATAACTTAATTTCAGGACCTCTTCCTCAAAATATTGGAGATATGGTGCCTACTTTGTCATCTTTGTATATGGTTGGTAATTTGATAAATGGTTCTATTCCAAAGTCATTCTGCAAAATTCTAAATTTGGGATATCTCGATCTTTCTAAAAATATGTTATCTGGAAATCTTCCTCATTGTTTGGGGGAACTCTCGAACCTATACATTTTGAAAATTTCATCCAACAAGCTTTCAGGGGTTATTCCAAACTCTATTGGACATTTGACTACTCTCAGAGGGTTATATTTGAACAACAATAGTCTTTATGGAGAGGTTCCTTCCGCTTTGAGACTTTGCAGAAGTTTAGCATATTTGAATCTTGGTGAGAACGGATTCACTGGAAACATACCTAGATGGATTGGAGAACTTAAAGACTTGGCCATTTTGAGATTGCATAAGAATATGTTCAATGGCAGTATTCCTTCGCAGTTATGCCAACTGCCTCAACTCCAAATCATGGACCTTGCAGATAATAATTTAAAAGGGACCATCCCTCGTTGTTTTGGCAATCTCAATGGCATGATTTTGAATGAATATGGTACACAATATAATTTAGGAGGATGGTTGTATGAGAACGTAAGGCAAGTCATGAAAGGAAATGAACTTGAATACACCAGTGCACTATTGTATGTCGTCAACATGGACCTTTCAAAGAATAATTTGATTGGAATGATCCCTGAAGAACTAATGCTTCTTTCTGGTTTGCTTGGGCTTAATTTTTCACATAACAATCTGACAGGAAGCATCCCTAAGAATATCAGTGGCTTAAAGTCGTTGGAATCTCTTGATTTCTCTAACAACCAACTTTCAGGCACAATTCCGAAGAGCATGTCTGCTTTGAATTTTTTGAGCCACTTGAACCTGTCATACAACAACTTCTCCGGACATATTCCAACTGGAAAACAACTCCAAACTCTTGTTGATCCTTCTATTTACATTGGCAACGATGAACTCTGTGGAGCTCCGCTTCCAAAGAAATGCCCTGGTGATGAACATTCGCATTCTCCGACAAGTTTAATCCCAACTCATGTAGAAAAACATAAAGGAGATGAAGCTGAAAAGGTATGGTTTTACCTGGTTGTAATGAGTGGTTATGCCACAGGGCTATGGGGAGTTATTGGAGTTTTGTTGTTGAAGAAGAGCTGGAGACATGCTTATTTTCAGTTTCTGGAAATGACCAAAGACAAGGTACTTGTTGCGATAACAGCAAGAATGGCTCGATGGCATGGATGAATAACTAGATTTTCAAATAAAAACCAAATGGTTACCATGTATGTATTTGGTATGTAGACCCTTGTATCTTTCTCTTCTCTATCTTTCTATGTTGTATGTGTTAAGTGGGGTGGTGGCTGTGCAGTTTTCATTTTAAGTATTGCTATTCAAGTTTAAAAGTTAGACTTACCTTTTAAATTAATGATGTGTTAAAAAGACAATTGGTTGATAATTAAATATTCTCTAATTATTAACAAATCATTTTTTGGATACATCACTAAGTCTAAAAAGTGGGTTTAAAAAATAGATTTGTATACCATTTTTCTTTCAGTTTATACATGTGGATCTTGTTTTTGTTTTTCTCATGTTTGTTTGGAGTATTTTCTTTGTTGTTTTGAGAGTTTCTTTCCAATAATGATATATGCTATATTTGATCTTTATTGTAATTGTAATTCAGTAAATTCCATTATTACAAGAGACATGGTTTAAAAAAGAAAAGATAAAAAAAAAATAGTGAACTATGTAGCCTTATATTTATTTTGTCGTTGGTCACTAACTGCAAGAACTTTCACTTTTGGTGACTAAATTTTTAGTTGTCAAATGGTTTCAGCGACTAAATTATTTGGTCGCAGAAGTAGTCGTCGAAGAATTGTCGGTAAAGGTCATTAGCGACTAAATTTAGTCGCCAAATGTATTCAATTTCCGATTAAATTTTTAGTCGCCAAAAGGTTGGACATTAAATTAAATTAGTACATTTTCGGCAACCAAACTTTTTGTCGCCTAAAATCTCACATTTTTAGTTACTAAAATTTTAGTCGGCAAAGAGTTCTTGTTTTGGCTTGAATAAAAATAGTCGCCTAAAGTCTCATATATTTTTTACTACTAAATTTTTAGTCGCCAAAAAATCTTTAGTTTGTTTTTGGCTACTAAATTTTTAGTAGCCAACAAGTTTTATTTTGTTTTTTGGCTACTAAACATTTAGTCACCAAAAAAGAAAAAAACTAGAACAAAAGTTATAAAATTTTCAAACTTTAAATGAGTTAAAAAAAAGTAATAGGTGGTATTTGAAGGGGTGTAATGGGGTTATTTTTCTCACTGTATGTTTTGGAGAACCTATACTAATATAGACAATTATGTTGTCATTATCTTTCTAAACAAATATTATTAGGGATCAAAAAAAAAAATCTCTATTATTTAAAGACAAATATAATTTAATTATATATCTATTAATCTCCAACAGCTTAATTTTTACGTGAATAATCTACTTGAGTAACTAAATTAATTGCAAATGATTGCATGATTTTGCATTGTTGTGAACAGAGCAAATGGAAATTGCGAAATCAAAAGCTCCAGGGGAATTGTTGAACTGGGATGATATTAAGAAGATGAAGTATTCATGGAATGTAGCGTGTGAAGTGATGAGACTTGCACCACCCCTCCAAGGAACTTTTAGAGAAGCAATGACAGATTTCATGTACAATGGTTTCTCAATTCCAAAAGGGTGTAAGGTAATAACCAAAATTTCATATATAATTATGAGATTTGAATTTCTCCAGTCTAGATCTGGATCAGAGAGGTGTTGTTTGGGCCAATGGGACCCACTACAGGACTCGTTTAGATTCAAACCGTTCATTTTTTAAGACTCTTCTTCGTATACATCACATAAAAAAATTAAGTCGATCCGATAATTATTCCATCTTTATTTTATTTGTTTGCCTCTAGTCTAGATCTGGACTAGATTATTTGTATTATGTACTTGTTTGAAATTGTAAGCTACGTAATAACTTCACCTTGTCATTTTCATTTTATTTTTCTTCTTTCATTTTGAAATCATCAGTTATATTGGAGTGCGAACTCGACACATAAAAATTCAGAATTCTTCTTCGAGCCACACAAGTTTGACCCATCAAGGTTTGAGGGATCTGGACCCGTACCTTACACATATGTGCCTTTTGGAGGAGGACCAAGAATGTGCCCAGGAAAAGAGTATGCTAGATTGGAAATACTAGTGTTCATGCATAATCTGGTAAAGAGGTTCAAGTGGGAGAAAGTAATTCCCAACGAGAAGATTGTTTTCGATCCCATGCCTAATCCTGAAAAAGGCCTTCCGATTCGCCTTTTCCCTCACAAAGCTTAAATTGGCTCTAGATTGTTAATGAATAATGCTATATGTATCAATTAGTGTACTAACTAGTATACCAATTGATGATGTGATATATTTTAAAATATTTTTTGTATTTGTAATTTGTAAAATGAGTGGGATGAATAATAATAATAATTTCTCACTCGCTCAAATATGTATTTATTGTAAGTATTTTATCCTCAAGTATCTGTGTATGTCACTGTGGTTAGGAGGTATAACCAATAATTAATTCCTATGTATTGATGCAAAAGTTGTGGCTATGAACTAATTCGATTTGTGTTTTTCATACAAGGAATAATTTGACTGGACATGAAGATAGAATTCTAGAATGTACATCAGGAATTGTGTATGTACGTGAAGCATTTGCTTGTCAAAAGTACTCTATTATTTATTTGGAATTACTTGGGTTGGGTTTGTTTTTCGTTTTGGCCCTTTTGGACGAGTTCAATTACAGCTATAACCTTCACCTTTCTAAAGAAAAAATGGAATTAAGTGTTATTGTTTGGGAATGAGAGAAAATAACTGAAAACTAAAAAATTACTATAAATTGTCATATCACTTTTTTTATTTTTCTATATTTTTCTTCATAAAAAAATTAAAAAATTATTAAAATAGCATGTATCCTTCAAAAATCACCTCTGTAATAGGAGGTTTCTTCCACCCCTAAGCCTATCCAAAACTATAGTTGAGTTGTTTATTGACCACGGTTGATCTTTGCTTCATGGCCAAGTTCATCTTTCCAAATGTACCAATATCTTCTGTTTCACCAAGTGGCTATGCTATATAAGCATTGGGTGGGCCAATTTTACATGCGTTGATTAATGGAAAATTTATCAATAAATTTCATATTAAGAAATGGTGATTCATTTAGTTCTAAGAATTTTTGTATAGATCAATTAATCCTATTGATGATGAAAAGATATATGTATTATATTATTTAAAAATTAGATTTACGATAATATCCTTATTTATATTATGTTTCCTTCTCTTTTTTTCTTTTATGCTAGAAAGGTAAGGTACATTAGAGAATCAAATTTGAAATGAATTTTTACATGAGAATTTTTTTTATTTGAAAAACATTTCAAAAAGAGTATAAAAATGAATTGAAATATGAGATTCTTTAAATATTTCAAAAGGATGTGGGATTTTTCAAATATTTCAAAAGCAGTACAAAAACTTTTTAGTAAGTTTTGGACATATGTATAATTTCAAACTGTAATACTCCAATGTAACACTCAAATGTAACACTCCAAAAAAAAAAAAAATCCTTAGTGTACTTTCCCCAAACGTAACACTATAATATAACACTCCAAAAAAATTTCTTATTGTAACACTTTAATGTAACACACAAAAATTTTATTGTGTACTTTTCTCGAACATAACATTTTAATATAACTGTCACGACCCGAACCTACTCCTAAAGATTTAAGTCATGACCGGCCAGTAATCCTTGATTACCTTTGGCCTCTATAACAAAATCAAATTGTATAATTATAAATGGGGTTTAACGGAAGCTGTAACAAAATAAGAATAATTCCATTGAGTAGTGCTTACATTACAAATCTCACAAATAATTTAAATTCAATCTTCATACTTAAATATATTTTCAACAAACTTCAACTCGTTTTACACAATATCATTACACAAAAAAAAAAGTTCCCGAATAACAACGACCAAAAAAAAAAAAGGCTGACAAGCTTGGCTCCGCTTGAGACCAAGTAACACCCCATCACGATGCACTTCACATAGGCTTCTCAAAAAAGGTGGACTCCTAAAGTGTCTTTAAACTTGACGATCCACATGCTCACTTACATATATATAAGTAGGGGTGAGCATCGGATATTCCAATTCGTCCAAAATGACCGAATCGAACCGAACCGATCTGTCGCACTTTGGATGGATGCATGATGACGAGCAGACGGTTGTGGAATGATTTTTTTTAATCCGCCTAGTTTTGAACTGATGGCGGATTTGAGATTTTTTTGGCCGCAACCGAACCATCAAATCGCGAGCGCCCCTAGTAATTTGTAAGACTTTGTGTTTTTAATTTGTTTAGATATTCTGTTTATATTTTCAATTGAAAAAGAGTTTAGATATTCTATTGTGTTTTCAATTTGGAAATCCTTTTATCAAATGGTAAGTGTTGATATTTGTTATTTTTGTGTGGAAAATATAAGACTTAATTTTGTCATTTAAAAAAAAAATCAAATTAAATAGTTTTTGAATAAAAGAAATAATGAAATAATTTTGATAAAGCATGGTTTTTTATACGTATATATTATTGGTATTTGACAATTTACTTGATAATATTTTGGTTATATTGAGTTGGATTGTTATCCCAAAAAAAAAAATATTGACAACTTGTATTATGTTTAAAATTTGTAAAAGTTTAAACTGCCAAACTGATTCGCATCCATTAGCCAATTTACTCAATCTGCATCCATCAATTCGTAGGACGGATGCAGATTGATTTTTTCCAATCTGCTAATCTGGCAGATTGGAGGTTTTCCGATCGTAACCGAACCGCAAACACCCCTATATATAAGGAAGAGGGGTGAGCTGGAGCCTAGTGAGTAACATCAATATAAAAGATTTAATGAATGAAGTCTAACATTTCATAAAACATATCTTTTTAATATCCAAAACAATTCGTATAATAGTCATATATCAAATTCATATCAATCATCTGTTTCAACAATATTCATTGCAAATCATTATACGTGATAACATCCAATAGAGAAACAATAAACCAATATGTCGAAGTCAATGGGATCATTACGGTCAGTTCAATAAGACCACAACGGGTCAATAAATAGAACCATAACGGGTAATTCAATGTGAACCACTAGGGTCTAACATCAGAGATCTCTGTGTTTCAATTAATCTAATAGGCCATGACATTATGTCCCCCAGACAAGGGCCTTACTAAAAGATGTCGCGAATACAATTTTTAAAAAAGACATTCATTCAGAGATAAAAAAATAAGATTTCAAAATATCATTATTGAGCAATTCAAAATACTTTTCGAACATATCTTTATAGAGATATTACTCACTGTGGGTTTGAACTGATGTTAACCTTCAGATGACCACCTACACAAAACACGTAATAAAGACACACATTGAAACACATTGTCTAATCAAATGTTCCAACTTAATTCAATTTTGTTAAATGTGTTTCTACCTTATTCTCTCATTAATGATGCCTAAACAATGCCCAAGAATTCCTAAAAGATCATGGGAATAAAAGTAAGCATTTGAAAGTATTTTGCAAAAGTTACTGAAATAGGGCAGTTTGCTCGAACGAACCTTTGGTCGCTCAAGCGGTCTGTATGGTCTGCAAAAGTTCTGGATGCTTGAAATCTAGGCTCGCTTGAACCAAGTGTAATGAAAGATGAGTTCACTCGAGCGGACATTCGGTCGCTCAAGCTATGTGCAACATTTCTGCAAAAATGCTGGATGCATGCAAAGTGCCCTCGAGCAATATTTTCACCGCTCAAGCGAAGTGACTGAATTCTAGGTTTTCCATAACAGAGTTCAAGTCTCAAAACATGATTATCTAAGTTTGAAACTTGCATGGTTGTATCAAACTCTTGAAAATACATAGAAAAACATATGTATGAACTCAATTTGAAACTATAAGCTCGAAAATACCATGAATTGGCAAATTTGAAACCAAAATCTCCATGTACTTATGGAATTTCTTTCAAACTCTTTACAAAACCTCAAAGCATGAAATTAAACTCCTAAAAACTTGTAATTCTTTGATGCATGTAAAATTCATCTCTCAATTTAACAAGAACACTAAAACTCAAGCTCAAAATGGTCAAATATGATGGAATTATGCACGCATGTATGCTCTAGCCTCAAATTCAACATCATTCAACCATTTTCTTGTGATTAAGCTCATAATCTTCATGAATTCATTTACTAGATGAGTTATTATCAAGAATTGAAGTTGGATTTCATACATAGAGTTTTCAGCTAAGCTTATTCTTGCAAAAACTTGACTTTTTCTTCCTAATTCTTTAATCCTCCAAGCAATTCTTCAAGTTCTTGAGCTCTCTCTCTCTCTCTTTCTCTCTCTCTCTCAAATGATCTCATTCACTCAAAATTTCAGCACAAATGTAATGTTATGAGTTCATTCTCTTAGCTTATAGCATATACATATATATATATAGGTTAGATTAGGTTAGACTAATTAAGTAGGCTGAAGGTTAATTAATCTAACATTAGTCTAATTAATCTTATTCAATTCTAATGATTTAATTCTAATTAATTTAATTTGAATTAAATTTTAATCAAACTTCCCATATGGGTCTAAATATTCTAATTAGCCTATGGTACTAGCCAATTTTGGTTTCTGAATTCGTTTGGGCCTTCAATTTCTGATACAAGATAGGTATTTTAACAGATATTTCATAATCAAACAGATATACACCAAAATTAAACACCTAAACATGCATATTCCCTTAATAAAATAATATGCAATAATGATATGTATGTCGGGGTCGTCAGTCTAACACTCTAATGTAACACACAAAAAAGATGTAGTATTCTTCAAGCCATTCAAAAAGGATGTGTGATTTTTCAAATCATTCCAAAAGGAATACAAAAATTCCTTAGTAAGTTTTGGATAAATATATAATTTCAAATTGTGAGTGTTACGTTTAGAAAAAGTACACTAAGGAGTTTTTTAATACTTTTGTATTTGTTACATTGGAGTGTTATTTGGGAATACATTGATTAGAGTGTTACGTTTGGAAAAGGATAAATTACACTTTTCTCCCTTTAAAGTTTCACCCATTTCTTACTTTGGCCCTTTAAATTTAATTTTTTCCGCTTTGACCCTTCATGTTTGCAATCTTTCACTTTGGTCCTTCATGTTTGCAATCCTTCCCACTTTGACCCCTTAAGTTTGATTTTTCTACTTTGGCCATTCATGTTTGCAATACTTCCCATTTTGGCATTTCATGTTTGCAATCCTTCCCACTTTACTCCTAGACTAACTTCCATCCAAAAAACTAATAGAATTTGTCACATCACCAACACATCAACTTCATGTGTGATGTAAGAAATTCACTAAAGATGCAAAAAATAAAAAAAATAGAAAACAAAAAAATTAAATTTTTTTTTAGTCTTTAGTGAATTTTTTTTCCAAATTTATTCATAAACATTATTATATTAGAGATGCATCTAGCTTAGACGTACGTTAAAAAAAATAAAAAATAATAATAATAAAAAAAAAGAT